CTAAATCAAGAAGTTAAGTTTGCCATGATATCATAGTTATAGCCAGAGTCTCGTTCAAAAAATTAATACATACAAATTACTTAAATTTCCAACTTTTCTATACTACTGCAACAAGTATCCATGGCAACCAAACTTACTATTTCACCCCCCCCCCCAGTTTTTGATGCAGCTTTAGAAGCTGTTGTGTTACACCTTAGTGCAGGCATATATTCCCAAAACATTACCTGATTGGGTATTTAAAGGCATCCAGTGCAGTTTTGAGGCTTGGAAACCAGATTTTTCAAAGTCAATATTCTAGTCATTTATCTACATACTAAGTTGACACAACACTGTCCCAATTTATATAGGCAAAATGCCCAAAGTTCTGACGAAAAACGGTTACTGGAAGGACCTGGATTGATGTTTAGGGTACCACCCAGAAAATAAAGGACTGATCTTGAGGCTTGTTTCTGCAGTTTTAAATGCCTTAAGTATGAGATACTGATTCAAGTGTGCTAATGTGGGGCAGTATGTGTCAATATCATACAGATTGCCTTATTCAGAATATTCCCAGTTTTGTCGCCCTAAAGTTGCATTGGATGCCTTTAAGAATAAGATGACATTCTCAGATATCTAACCTAAATACAACAGAAATAAATGTCGAGGAAATAAATCATTGTTGTGAGACATTTATTTGCTCTACAAACATGATCAGAGAAAGTCTTGGGTAAGATTATTGTGTTTGGTCTAATGTCAACCTTCAAAACTGACAAAAGTATTAACTACATCAGAAAAAAAGTGTACTTATTATCATACTATAAATATTACTATAAATATATAAGGTAAAACACTACAGCCATATACAACACTAGGTTAGTTTATGTATGCATAAATAGACATTCAAAATCTTTGTCAGCGAGGAGGAAACACATGGAATGGAAAATTGTCCAACATAATGGATATCAGAATGGTTGATCTGTCTCAAGTGTTACACCTCTTGCTAAATCGAGAAGTTAAGTTCTCCATGATATCATAGTTATAGCCAGAGCCTCATCCAAAAATACACATTACTTCATTTTCCAACTTTTCTGTGCTACTGTTTCTCCCTCCCTGAATGCAAAGTGTTCAAACTACTTTCTAATCGGGCAGTGGTCTTTAGGTTAGGAGTAGGCCACAATAGTGTAAAATGAAATCTAGTTTCTCACATTGCAACAAATGGACTATATACACATTAAATCTTACTTTACTGTATGATATGGTTACCTAAAATATACTTATAATGTAATACAACCTACTCATATGGTCCCTCTGGCACCAAGTTCCTTCTGATTACTATAAACATCTATAGTTTTTAACTTGGGAAAGTTCCCATCTTAACTATGGCAACATTTCATATGGCATAAAAACAGTTATGGGTCAAGAGCTACAATGATTTTTATGGCATTCTGTACAATTTGTATCAACATGATTTTTGAAAAGTGACTACAAACTTGTTAGTATTGAATATCAGGATCCTAGGATGGTTTCATTTTACACATTTCTTTTATTTCTTCAAACAGGCTGCTTTTAAACTGACAGGCCAATCTTTATTTCGTCTCTCCAGATCGGCTCCCCTGATTGGCCACCTCTATCTCTCGCCCCCTCCCATTGGCTACTCTTGAGCCTCCTTGCCAGCAATCTTGTAGATGACGGACAGCTCTCCAGCATTGCCGCTGGCCTGGCTGTTCGTCAGGCGTAACTCGATCTCCTCGTTACTCCCGTCCTCCGAAGT